CCCCCCCCCCCCCCCCGATCCTCACAGCTACGTGTTGCGGGGCTACCACCTGAGGGTACTCGTTGCCCACAATGCCGAAGTATGTCTGCGGGCCGGCCTCGAAGCTATGGCCCACACTTGGCGAATGCTCGGCATCCTTCTCTCCGGCGTGCCGGGCGGGCTGCTGCTTCCGCTCGGCTCGTCGGCGCCCGACATAGACGTCGCCGGGATCGACAATGGGATGGCGGCGGCGGTGGCGACAGCTACCGCTGCCGCGGGAGGGGGGAGCGGAGGGGGCGGGGCGACTGGGGTGGGAGGCAGGAGGAAAGTGGACCCCGCCACCGCAGGCAGGGAAAGTGAGAGGGCGGGAAGGATGTTCTGCGCTGTAGGGGGCGTTTGGTTCGTGTTTTTGGCTGCGAGTGGATGTAGGTGGCGGTAGCAAGTTAGAAGCGTGGGTGTAAAGATCTTTGTGCTGGCTGCTGTGGCATGATCAGCCCTGCAACGATGAGGTGTAGCGCGTAGACGTTATTCGACTCGGTTCCGCCTGTTGTGGCGAAGTGCCGGCGACGGGGGCGGAGGCGACAAAAGGCCGTAGACGACCATGAACCACAAGCAACAGATCCGCCATAAATCATCACCGCCTTTAGATGCAGCGCGACTGTCTGACACCCTCGTTCCCTGTTCCCCTGGTCCCTCAGGAAATTTCAGCGTGCCAGAGGTGCTCGACCTCATCGACCAGCACGAGGAGGAAGAAGAAGAGGACAAGGCAGGGAAGCCGAGCCTGGAGCGTCAGCTCACGCCGGAGCAGCGGCAGCGGCAGCTCAATCTCGCGCCGCCACCTTCGCGGCAGCCTGGCAGGGTCCCCAAAACAGCCCGCGGGTTAGTGGCGGCCGGAGGCGGCAGCGGTGACCTGAAACTCCCGCCCAGGCGTCCCGCCGCCGCCGCCGCCCACCCGACCGCGGCGATTGCTAGCACGACCAGCCCCGCCGCGGCGGCGACGACTTCCTCCGAATCGGTCAGCAGCAGCAGCCGTCACGGGACCCGGAGCCAAAACAGCGCCACCTTCGGCGGCGGCGGCGGCGGCGGCGGCGGCGGCGGCGGACCTCCCATGTGGCAAACTCTCCCGTCCCGCGGTCCCCCGCCGCCTGCGTCGGCGGGGGCGGCGGCGGCGTACACGGCGACCACGGCGGACGATGAGGAAGACGACGGTGGTGGCGGGGACGGCGGCGACTCCGACGGGGGCACGACCGCCACGACAAGCTTCGCCGCCACGGAGTCGGTCTGGTGGGAGCACGACGACAGAGCAAGCCGCGGCGGTTGGGGGCGGGGTTCATCCCAGGCGGCCGCCGCCGCCGCCCGCGCGGCGAGAGCCCGCGCAGGCGAAGCGGCGACGCGGAATGGCGGCGGCGGTGGAGGGGGCGGGAATGTCAGGGGTGGGAGGCCCGACCGACAGGAGCGGTTGCGCGACGAGGTGGCGCTGGGGTGGCTTTGGAAGTCAGAGGTTCGGGACTGGCTGTCGGCGATGTCCGAGGCCGGCTTCGCGTACGACACACTGGCCGTCCTGGAGGTGGTAAGGTAAGGCAAGCGAGACGGCGAGCTTCCGGCGGTGGGGAGGGTCGAATTGTGTGTGCTGGGGTTCCAGATGATGTTTGGTTACTTCCCTCACGAGAGGGAACCACGACTGCTTACTCTGTACAAATGATCAACCGCCGGCGTTTTAGAGGTGCTGAGTGTCGTGTGCTGCTCACATCTGGCGTTGCGCTGCATCTGTTGCCCCTGATGTCTTGTAGCATCCGCTTCTTTGTTTTGGCTCCCATGTGTCGATCAATTCCTTTTTCCATGGTCCTTGTGCTTTTCTCGTTCCCTTTGTGAAGGTGTCTCCTCGTCCCTGCGCAGTTTCCGCTCCCACGGGTTCTTTGAGCCCTGGTACTCCCTCCTGCATCGCCGCATGACAATGTCCTGCATCGTGTTGTGCCCTCCGTCTTCCTCTGCGCCCCCTGTGCCGGGTGTGGATGTGTTCGAACTAGAACAATTCAACGGTTAACTCCCGACACGGTTCGCCCCAACCTCCCTGCCTTTAACAAATATGCATGAACCACGAAACTGTACTAGCCGAGGCTAAGAATGTCCCCACCCCGAAAAAATCGGCACGCACAGTGGTCCATGGTTGCGCCTGAGGACATCGCGAGGTCCTAGGGGTGCTCCTTTCCCGCGATAGTTTGGGTCAAAAGCCCCGAGTTCGAAGTTGTCAGTTTCGCGCCTCTGTTCAGCTTTCCTGCGAAGGGGGTTAAGTGCCCCAACCAGCTGCTCAACGGCAGTGGTCGCTCTTGTCCCCCCCCCCCTCCCCCCGCGCGCGCGCGCATGAGTATGCCTCAAGCGAGCAACCGCGTGGAACATGTGGTGCCCGCGTCGTGCTGGGGTAGTGATGGTGTAACAGCTGCGGTACGCGGCGTTCGCGTGCGGGCCTCAACGCTATCCTTGCCTTCTCCACCTTGGCCGACCCCCGCATCTCTTCTTGGGTTGGTGTGCAGGAGCTGGTACTATGGCACCGGACCGGGTAGAGACGAGGAAGTGGAAGAGGAAAAGACCAGCCTTGAGGAGATGTGCGATATTAAGGATGCCGCAGGGTTTTGGCTAGCCACCGACATCCCGAATCTCCAGGTAGTCTTGTTGTTGTTGAAGGGGGCGTGGTCTCTCTGATGCCGCTTTCGCCAACTCTATGTTGTTTCTCGAGCGTGTTGCGTCCGTGCTACCAAACCTGCATCAGCACCTGATGTGTCCATTTCAATCCCACTCCCGGTCTGCCATGTGCTCGTGGTCTCTGTGCTTGATGCGTCCGATCCAATGGCGCGTCGCAAGGTTCGCATGTGGTACATGCAAGGGCTCGAGAAGCTGTGGCAGCTGCAGCTGTACGCGGCGGCGACGGACATCATCAACCACTGCGGCGACCCTTACATCGCGGAGATGCACCTGCAGAACACCACGTGAGCCCTCCCGAGCGAGCAATGTATCCTTCGTGTCTCGATTCTCGGTTTAGTACCAATCGGCGCCCCCCCTGTTTTCTCTTGAGAATGACCTCTCACGCTTGGACTTTGGCACTATTTTGGACGCATCGCAGTGCTCCGGAGGCACCGCAGATGTGCAGACAATTGCCGCCTTGTACCCGTACCGCGCACCCGAGATCGACGTTGGATCCGAGTTGTACGAGGGGGTACGTCTTCTGCGATTGGATTGTGGTCGCGGAAGAATCGCTTGTGGGAGTCGATGGCTTGAGGAACACCTACCGCATGTAGTAGCCCGAAGGCACAGCATTGTTCTAGACAGATTGTGTTGCTCATTGTTTCGCTCGATCCATGCTCTTGGCAGAGGCCCCGCGGTTGAAATCGGAACACGCTAGGGTTCATGTGCTAGATAACATGGTTGAGCAGCCTGCGGGCAAGGCTTGTGGCGTCGTCGACTTTGTTTCCACACTTTTCCGTCAAAAGGTGCAATTTCCACGATATATTTAGTACCGCCTGGAACACTTATCCTTCGCGGGTCTCATGGAAGACGTCCGCCAACGCGACACGGATGGTCTCACGGTAGCCTGCGCAAAAAGCAATCGCCTCAAGGTTTTCATTTAGCACTGAAGGTGGGTATTCTAGTGAGGCGTGTCGTCATTCCGCGTCGACAGGATTCGAAGAAAACTATTTCCTAGAAACTCTACCTCGAGTCCCATGTCAAAAGCAGAGGGGCGCTCACATATTTATCGCTCTTCGTTGATGACCCGGTGACTGCGTGAAATTGAGCACGATGTTTTTCCACTGCGGCCAAAGACTGTTCCGCGCGTGTCGTTGATATCCATGACATGCACGATGCTGTATGTACTGTGTACGCACACATGGCACGTTCCTCCGATGCCGATACATGTGTACCCCCAACCTACCAGGGTGTACCCTTTCTGCTCCGGTTGTGGGACCTCTCGCTCCACCGGCACTTCCACCTGGTGCAGCAAGTGCGAACGGCAAGCGTCGTTGTGCGCCTTGTGCGACCTTCCAGTGGTGGGGCTCTACGTCGAGTGCCCCGGGTGCCACCACGGGGGACACGCGGAACACTTGATGGTGAGTGTGTGAGTGTGTTTTTATTATTAGCATCGACCGCGCTAACCGGCTGACCAATGAAAAGACGTCAGTCTCAGTGCGGTTGAGAGAGTGTGTGTGTGTGAGACAGAGAGGGAGAGAGAGATAGAGAGAGAGAGAGGGAGAGAGAGAGCGAGAGGGAGAGAGAGCGAGAGAGAGAGAGATAGAGGGAGAGATAGAGGGAGAGGGAGAGAGAGCACATGGTAACAATGTTGGTATTCTTCTTCCATCACCACGAAACATATCGTAGCACACACCCCTCGTCTGGTTGCAGAGCAATCTCTTGCTCGTTATCATGCTCTCGGTGACGGTTAACTACTGCCTGGGGCACCTGAATGGTCTGCTGTATTGGACGTCGTTTTCAGAGTTGACTGCTGCTGGTGCGTACATTTCCGCAGGTCACGTATTTGCGGACGCTCACTCATTCTTGCCACGAAGCGGGTCGCGCCCGAAACTCAGCTCACACCGCCCCCTCCCCCACCTCATCTTGGCCGTGCGTCTCGCCCTGCAGAACTGGTTCGAAGTTTCGAGTGAATGCCCGGTAGAGACGTGCTCCCACGTGTGCAAACCTCGTCTCACCGGGATCCTCAAGCCCGAAGCCCGCGATTGGGACGGCTGCCTAGCTCCGACAGTGGCAAGACTTCCACAGTAGCTTGCGCTTTAGCGATCGATAGGTTAGCTCGAAGAAATCTCGCCTTTCTGCGCGGTGCTTCACTATGTTCGTTTTTCTGCGCACGTTGTTCCTGCCTCCCTGGGGCTGGCTGCAGCTGACCCGGAAGGACATTCACGCTGAGTCCCCGTGGGACATGTACAATGATTGAGCATTTCTTGAATCGAAACGCCTTGTTTCAGCTTTTCGATTTTTCCGGGCAGTCCCGAGTCACCCTTGAAAGTAGACCGTAAACCGCCCAAGCTAAATAGCAAATGCAATCAATATGAAACAGACCCGAGATTGTAAAATCCCGAACACTCTTTAGCAGCTCCCTTTGAGACTTCGAGCGTCGGGAGTTGGAACACATACGGGGTGTCTTATATCGTAGTAATCAGTGCCTTGTGCGTGTGATATTTGCAAAGCATCACTTACGCTCGAGGCGGAGCGTTTTCTCACAGCAAGCAAAGAAGGGTCGGCGAAGCAAGACAGTAGCCCAACACATCGGCTAGCAGTTAAAATATGACCTGTTTTGTCATCTTCTCGAGGTGGAACGGTTGGACCCTTGCGGTAAGGCGTCGTTGAAGCTTGTTCGGTGGGCAACATCCACATTCTGGGCGATGAATACAAAACGTTTGTGGCACGCAATTCGCTGATTGGTCAACGCACCAGCGGCGGAAGAGGGCAAAAACGTAAAAAAGAAAAAGGGCACCGACCCACGATCCTTAGTCGACGGGTGGTGTCATATACGGCCAAACCACATCCTGGTCGGCCGGAATCCTGGGAAAGTCAATCGTGTCTGATGATGACCTGTTGTTGTCACCTTGGCTGACAAGGAACTAACTGGAGAGACGGATTCTCCCGGCCGACCGACCAATCGGATCTGCGTTGTTGTTAGACCACTGTAGATGCAGCAGTAGTGATGGATCTTTCCGAGCTAAATAGAGACTTTTGGCGGAGAATCATAAGGTTAGCTGCCTCTCGCCCACATCACTCTCCTCGGCGAGAGGAAACTCGTCGCCTCAATATACATACATACATTGAAATTCTTTCTGATCGAATCACAGGATACATCTCGACCGTCCGAGAGAGACAAACATAATGGCTGGCAGAAGGAGCGACTTCTCGTCCGAAGCTGCATCTTCACGATGACGAAGAAGCGCAGACTCAGTGATTGTACATAACGCTAGAGCAGGTTGCCACCATCACATCAATTCGGCTGTACCTATTCACGCCCTTGCTCGGTTTGGACATCAACGGGCCCCTCGGGAACAAACACGTTGTTAATGTACGCCCGTGCAGTGCAAACGGAAAACAACTTGCGGGAAGGCTGTTAGACAAAACTCAAGATTGGCAGGTGTCCAAATGCAACAGGCGCGGTCCCTTCGTGTTGAAAATATGCAACAAGCGTCGCTGCTAGTGCCCCTCTCACATGCGGCCGGCGGCAAAAACGTAGCGAGATGTGAAAGACGAACTCGTCATGGGGCTTTATAATACACACGGATAGAGAGAACGCAACAAAGAGGACGTCCTATCCACAGGCGCAGCTTGTGTAAGAGACAGAAAACAAGCAAAGTAACTCGAACAACAAGGCACACGACAACAGCAAATCTGCGCAGCGCGTTCGAAGCGTGCCGGGGGCGTGTTCCAAAACAAAATTCGAGGGGAAATGGAGAGAGAACCCTTTCGCAAATCGCTTGATCTCAATCGACAACCAACTCTTCGCTCTCTCCCAGAAGTCAGTCTTTCCACACCGGCTTCTGTACCAACTCTCCAGCCAGCATTTCAATCATCGCACTCATGTAGTCCGGTGGCCAGCACCTGGGGCGAAGAGTCAGACGGCCACGGTGGCGCGAGAAAAGGTCACCGCTCCGATCTTCCTGTCCTTCACAAACCTATAAAGTTGTAGTCATGGGGGGAGGGGGGTGAAAGAGGGGTGCAGCAAGCCCGTCCTGGGCGTTACTTGGGGCACTGGGTAGTCGGCCGTATTAGGCCGCGCGTGAGAGATTGAGAGAGAGGTGGAGATAGAGTGAAACAAGGAAACTTGATTGGAGAGAGACGGCGGTAGCGGTGGAAGGAGAGAAGGAAGAAAGAAGGTGCGCAACACCCACGCAAGCCTCATCGTTCCGACCGCGCCAAAATGGTCCCCGTGACTGCACCGGTGGTACCCTACAACAAACGAAACTCCCAACACGTACAGTATCCCCTTGGGATCCTCACGACCAAATACTGCTGCGAGTATATCTAACATCCCCCCTGCTCGCAAGAATTTCTCACTGCAAACTTCGCTACTATCCGATATCTCAACCAAAAGATGTCTTTTCAAGAATATATGCCATCAAGACTATACCAAAACATAAGAAAGAAAAATCGTTCAAAGCATGAATGAATGCTGCATCGCGCGTAGTGAATACTTGGCGTGGAAAATGAAAGCAAAACCAAACCACAACCCATCAGAAAAACAATAAATGTTGATGCCAAAATCACGGTGAGACTCGATTGTGTCCTTCGGCAAGCTCTTCGTAAGAAAATCTGCACGCTGGCATGGCGACGGCACGTGGATCACCGAAATTTCCTTCCTCTCTACCAGTTCCCTGAGAAAACGGTGCCTTACATCTATGTGCTACGAGTTCGAGTTTGAGATGGGGTTCTGCGCTAGTTGAATCGCCCCCTGGTTGTCCTCGAAGACAGGGATGCACGGCATGCCGACCTGCGGCAACATGAAACGCCAAATTTGCCTCAAAAACAAGATCTCCTTCACTACGTCACCAAGCGCGACGTACTCTGCTTCTGTCGTTGAAATCGTAACACACCTCTGCGTTCTGGAAAACCAAGACACGGCGCCTCCTCCACACGTGACGATCCCCCCTGATACCGACCTACGGTCTGCTGCCTTGCTTGCAAAGTCCGCATCAGCGAACCCAGGAAAACTGAAACCCTCTAGACTACTGTACCTCTCTGAAACGAAAATCGAAGTGACTCGTCCTCCTCGCATACCCCAAAATATCCATCGCTGCATTCCAGTGTACCAGCTTCGGAGATGCACAATACCTAGCTACTGCCCTTGCTGTCTGAGTCGCCAGCCGCATCAAAGATCCGACTAGTTCACGAAACAAACGGAACGTCTGTCGCCACCTCATCCGCATCATAATCAGAAAGCTTCACCCCCAAAGACATCGGAACTCTCTTACCTACCACTACTCCATACTCTGCTGCTAGCTCATCCGTGAAAGTCTGCTGAGAAATCGTCAGCCTACCGGTCTCCTTGTTCCTCTCGCAAAAGCGCCCAGAATACCATTTCAACTCTCCCAGGTTCTTCACTGGCACGGACTTGTTAAGGTCGGCGCCAAACTTGTCACATCTCTCCCTCTCTCCCACAGTAAAAAATGTCATCTACATGTACTACAAAAATCATNTCTGCTGCTAGCTCATCCGTGAAAGTCTGCTGAGAAATCGTCAGCCTACCGGTCTCCTTGTTCCTCTCGCAAAAGCGCCCAGAATACCATTTCAACTCTCCCAGGTTCTTCACTGGCACGGACTTGTTAAGGTCGGCGCCAAACTTGTCACATCTCTCCCTCTCTCCCACAGTAAAAAATGTCATCTACATGTACTACAAAAATCATAACAACACATCCATCCTCAATCAAACGAAACACACAAGCATCGCCCATGCACTGCTCAAGACCTAACGCCACCAAACACCTCTTCAGCATTGCATGCCACTGCCTTGATGCCTGTCTCCAGTCATACAGACTCTTGCCTAGTGTTACAATCATTCCAGATAGAGCTCCACATCCTTGCGGCAAACGCATGTACACGTCTTCCTCCAACTCCGAACGCACAAAATCTTGCTCAATATCGAAATTTGGAGAGAGACGGCGGTAGCGGTGAAAGGAGAGAAGGAAGAAAGAAGGTGCGCAACACGCACGCAAGCCTCATCGTTCCCACCGCGCCAAAAGGGTCCCCGTGATTGCACCAGTGGTACCCTACAACACACGAAACTCCCAACACGTATCCCCTTGGGATCCTCACGACCAGATACTGCTGCGAGTATATCAACAGGGGGAAGAGGAGAAAAACGGCGCTTGGTTTGACCACACCAACGAACAGCATCATATGGGACCATTACATCTTTCCTGAAACGCGACAATATCAGAGGGACCTGCAAGCGCCTGCCAGTGCCCGACGCCGTGAAAGGTAGAGGACGCAAGCGTTGAAACCCGGAAGTTTGATATATCGCTAGATTCCACAGGAAAGCAATGCGCTGCGCGGCCAGCGGTGCGCATAGGATAACAAGTTTGTGCGGGAAGCTGACTTGATGTATTCGCTAGACTCCTGAACGGCATGACCAGCTTGAACACGAGCATAATAGTTTCCTTGCAGGCCGTCCGACTATCGCCAAGACGATACGACCACCCACTGCAGAAACCAAGACCAGGGCACAGCAGTAGACTACAAATACCTGACTCTCGCTTCAGCAACAGTAGAAACGGAACTGCAGCAGGCAACCGACAAATGATCAGTCATGAAACTACATCCTTCTCGATCGGATGACATCTCTGAAACCCCCTTTCACTTGGAACCCCAGCATGACTGCTTCCACTACATGGCATTCGCATTTACAGTAGACTAGACTATACTCCATAGTCTACCCAACCGCTGCGTCAAACGTTTCACAAGATAGGATCAGAATGTGGAGCAAACCAAAAAGAAATCGGGTCAAACCCAACAAACGCAAGTATGCTACGCCCACGGAAGTGCCGATACGAAGCAAATCGAGACCAACACATTGTGATCGCAACTCGACGAGCATCGTCGTGTTGCCTGTCTGAAGCTTTCCAGTTTTTGGCGGTTAACCCTTTTGGGTCTACAGGCGTCCTGACAGATCATCGATTGATCATTTGCAATTGCCGGTGTTGTGTCATGCCATGGAGTTGCCGCCCTCTATCCCTCCACGCCAGGTGTTGGCAAGTTAATAGGTAGGTGTGTCTACAGTTGGCGCCCGCAGTTAAGAAATATTTGTGAAGAAATTCACTTTTTCACGAAAAATAAGAAAATAGGGTTAAGAAACATAGCTTAATCTGGGTCACACAATAAGTTCATCGATGAACTTGCGACACATGCCGTGGGAGGAAGGGACGGAGGAACGATGGCTCTGAAAGGAGTCTTCAAGGAACGACTTCTTCAGATCGTTTCGGTGGCTACACAGGTGGCCATATCTCGGCGAGTGCAGAGGTACAAGCTCGCATTGCGCGGGCGTCAAGACGCCGAAAACAGGCGAACAAGATCGACCTCGGACCAGTCAACGCCAATGATATGGGGATGGAGTGTAGACGCATCGTAGAACGCGTTTTCGTTTGAAGTTGGCGTCTTGTTTGAGAGTAGATGTGACAGATTTGCGTAGAATAGGGTAAGATGTTATCATGAACGGAGATGAAAGGGCTTTTCCAACACGGAGATGTAGCATGGATCAAAGCATTTGTTGGATTTCAGCTTTTACAAGCGGACATCAACGCAGTAGTATTTTAGCAAGCTTACGAACGCATATAGGATACCATCAGGATTGTCATTGGTAAGTTGAAGAGGAGATACTTTTACGATGTAAATGACAGTAGAAATAAGTCCTACATATGTTGTTGTACTTCGTATTGGTTTAATATTCATGTAGAGTATGAGACATTAAGTGAAAGTTTTCTGAGGTACATCTGCAATTGTCGGAAGGCAAAATATATATATATATATATATGGGGAGAGATTCCCATATCATTGGCGTTGACTGGTTCGAGGCCGATCTTGTTCGCCTGTTTTCGGCGTCTTGACGCCCGCGCAATGCGAGCTTGTCCAGTATTATTATTATGTATAAGATAGTCTGACACTTGACGCGGTCGATTCCTACCGTGGTCACAGGCTCCCTTACCCCAAAAAGATATACAAAAATAAAATAGACCCGAAGAAGGGTCTGCAAGTCAACGACACAACAGTCTAGGACCCTCCGCTCGCCTCAATACGCTATGCGTGGTAGTAACCGTACACTGGACAAAAAAAAATATATATATATACATGTACTAGAGGCGACCTCACGCGCACCCGACAAAAACGTCAGTCTTCGACAGGCACTTCTCACTACGCCCATCCATGCGCTGTATTTTTTGTGGCGAGGGACTCCATGCTTTCTAGAATGAATGCCGCCAGTGATCCCGTTGATATTTTTCTTTCGTGGACATGATTTCACCCGAATGTTGTTGACTTCACATTAAACCGTATGCCAGTTGCTAAATGCCAAAATCTAGCAAAGACTCTC